ACCATCTACACATTAGTCGTCTAGCTTGTTTAGTTTGCCTTTGCTGCCAACGGCTGGCAAAAACTAAAAAAACGCGAGCCCACCGAACTGCGGCAACGCCTTCAAATACCGCTTCCCCTCAGACGCTCGCACGGCGCACCGCCGTCTGTGCCTACCTGGCACCTGTTCAACACACGCGAAGCAAAACACACAAGCCACGGCAAAACTGGATAATCTGAGGACATGGTCCATTCAACATTCGTTTCGAGAGCATCTTTCGGTGTACGGATGAAGCCCGACATCGTTTAAGCGAACGTTCAACAACACCGCTTGCTTGCCTGATGGTCTCCAACGGGACCCGTTGCGAATACGACCTGGTGCGACTGGTCAAGAACGGCCGGCTCTTGGTCATATTTAAAAACAAAATTTTGGTAGCCTAGGTGGTTGAAGACATCAAAAAGACACATCACCGCGTACGAATGAGTCCGTCCTTGTACTACTCGACAACGACGACAACCTGACTCCTGATCTGCACACGCTGACACGTGAAGGTGGGATGATCACTTTGACCAAGAAAGAAATTGTCAATCGAAATGACATTGACTAAGCGAACTCTGTCTGATGCGACCCTGCGGTTCGAGCGTTCCCGCGCCCTCGCACGCAGTGGGCACCAAGACCGGCACTGACAGTGGTAACTGTTTTCGTGGTCGATGATCTCTCGACGCGCTGGTTCGCTTGGGTTCAAGACTTTAGGTAAAACCCGAACTTCGTCGGAGACGCGGGGTGATCCAAATTCAGGTTCCGGAGGTGCAACATCTAACTCTGGACGGTTTACCCAATCTTCTTGGTCGTCCACCGGCGCGACTGCTGTCGGAGGCGGGGGTGCTCCTCTGACGCGTTGAGATTTCGAAATTTCGTCCGGATGCCATTGGGCACTGCCCGTGTTGCTCTCTACCTCCACGCTGTCATCAGCAGCAACTGGGTCAAGATTCTCATCAAGAGTTGGGTCGCGCGCACAGCCCAATGTGAAACTACATGTTTGCCATTTGGGAGGTCTTACGCCTTTCTCGGCTGCCGTCAAGAAAACTCTGGAAGCACTGCCAGGGCCCCCAGAACCGCTATCGATGGCAGATGGGGGGTCCGCTTTCACTTTAGAACCTGATGGCAAAATCTGAACCTCCATGACGTACATGTTATTATTCCTGTCGAAAGGTGTCTTGCTACGCGTGCTGACGTCGTAAATGAAATCTTGTCTCGGGAAAAAACACAACCAACTTGTCCTGATCACAAATGTCTGGCACAGACATTCAAGGTTTACGAACATCTGTGACACGAGATTGCAAAGATCACTGTTTGTTGTTTTTGTCGAGGTCCTTTAGTTTCTGGCTCCGTTCGTCTGGAATATTCGTGCCACATGCGCCCCTGTAGTCCTGGCCGTTTGGTGGGCCATGGTATCTTTTCACTTTGCCGCACACACAAGCAAACCTACGCGGAATTACTCGCACACACGCTCTGGAATCCAGTTTTGCCTTCAACGTTCCGAGGAATTTCGTTTTAGGGCACCGTCGTTTGGAGTGTTCCGACGCAAGTGACTCGATGGACAGACTATCTTTGTCGTCTGATTCTATCTGGAAATACTCAGTGCCAGAAAGAACTGGATGAGCAGAGGCAACAGTAAACCCAGCAGCTTTCACTGAGGCATTTTTCGGCTTCACCGTCTCCGCGGGATTTACCGCCAATACAAACTGTTTGCTGAATGCCTCGTCCAACACATCGTAAACAAATAAGAACCCTGGTTGGTAGACGCCGTGCGCAGATCCGAACTCGGATTGTCCAGCACCGCCAGAACCAACCCGTCGAATTCAATTTCGTCCGCCTGCGGCTCAGGCTCACCTACAAGCTTTTCGCAAATCGCGTTCGACATGTCGATTTGCAGCTCGCGCGCGGAAAGAGGCTTCCTATCACGACAGTGTCATGCTTTGTGTCCCCATGTCCCGCATGAATTGTACGAACAATTGTACTGGGCATTGTTGTTCCAAATGCCGGAGGATGGCCCAGGAAGGCCAGAACCCCTGTTGTTTGTTGGGCTGCCGGTCCAAATCCACGAGTTTTCCGGCTGCCTGTTTTGCCGGTTTGGCCCCTTTCCGTCAGCGCCGCCTGAGTTTGAGGCGCCACCGTAGCCTTTGCCGCCTCCTTGGCCTTTCCCAAAGCCCTTTTTGCCGTGGATTGTTCCTACCCGTTTGCCGCCTTTGCTGCCTCCTGTGCCTCCACCTTTACCGCCCTTGCCAGTGCCTTTCCACCAACAGTTCTCGCTCGAATGCCCCTTGCCGCCGCAGTGGGAGCATTTGCCTTTGGGGTCCTTACCGCCTCTACGTATTATTAAAAACGTTCAGATCCATCCTTTCTTGGTTCGCAGAAAAGGAACTCTTACTCTCAAGATAAGAACCGATAGCTTGACGGATCTAAGCGTACGTCGCGCAGGAATCTGCATTCAAATACAAATAATCCTGCAACTTACCAGGGCACGTGCTAATCAAAACGGACGCTTTAGTATCATCGTTGAACGGTTTCGATCCTGTTATGTGTTCGTATTCGCTTACTCGTTTCTCCCATTCCTCGATCGAGGACCGGAGCTCGGAAAACTGAGCCTGCGCCGGGTTCATCGAAGAGCGAATGATGTTGCAACGCCTCCTGGCTGACTGGGAAACGAATTATTTCACAAGTTTGCGCCAGGCTTCACAGCCGGAGCCTTCATCCACATTCTTGACAATGTCTGAAGTAGAACCCGCTACCAAAGAAGCTAAAGCTGTGTAAACGTTATTGCTCATGCTGTATAGTTCTGCTTCTGATACACCGACAAGGGAAAGAACTAGATCGTCCATCGCGTTGAGGTCTGTCGCCTGTGAGGCTGACCAAGCACAAGCTGTACGTACATGAGTGTGCACAGATGACAAGTGCTTCTGGAATTTGACGGAGAACGTGGGCAACTCGGACCTTTCAGATTTGAACGCGACTGGTTTTCCCGATTTGTTTCGAAGCGATTCGTTCAGAGCCTCTCGATGAGAAGTTGTCTTCGATGTGTTCCCGCAACTCGTCAACTCTTGTCTTGTGTTTTATGTCCTTCTCCCTGGATGTTTGTTGCAACGCGCTAAACTGGCACTTTCGCAAGGTTCTCTGTCACAACTTGCAGCTGCTGGAGCGCTGCATTCAACTGTTCTGCTGTTGCCGCCATCTTGGATTGGGCAGTCCTCGGATTCAATTCGCACAGATCGGAAACGAAATCCCAGAGGTCCTACTGAGGAGAACGCTACGCTACCATGAGAAATATGTATGCTTGCTGAGACTTACTAAAAGACTGCGGAACGATGCAACTGCTGCTACTCCCTACAACTGCTGCTACCGACATTCCTAGTCACTAGAATGCTCGACAATACACATACACATATACAAATACGTATACATATACCTGTACATATACATATGCATATGCATATGCATAGACATATATATATATATATATATATTCACATGCATGTGCATATGCAAATGCATGTTCGCATACATATACATATACACATGCGTATACTGCTCAATTGTCCTGTACATGTGCATATACACCTACATATACATACACAGGAGTATGCATTCCCAGTTGCATATACATATGCATGTATACCTACATATGCATATGCATATGCGTATACGTGTACAGATGCATATACCTAGAAATAGACATCGACGTGTACATATACATCAACATGCGCATACCCACATACGTACACATACACGTGGATACGTGTACCCGTAGACATTTGTTCCATAAACATAGACATCGGCACACACACACATACACGTATACATATACAAATACATATACCCTGTACATATACATACACCGATGGTCCTGCACAGACATGAAGATGTACACATTACTGAATTCAACCATCAAACTACACATGTGCATTTACATATATGTCTACACCGTACATGCATGCCTCTATATACACACGCCCACATGCATGTGTACACATACATGCAGACATGTATAACACATAGCTACGTGTAGTCATACATGCGTAGATGCGCACATGCATACATACATACACACACAAATACGTACAAACACCTACATACATACACATATGCGTACACACATACATACATACATATATACATACATACGTACACACATACGTACATATATACATACATACATACATACATACATACATACATACAGACAGACAGACCGACAGACAGACAGACAGACAGACATACATCTATACATACACATGGGCGGCGACCATAAACGGGTGGTACGCAATTATACATAGCAACTCTACGCCGAGGATACCGTGGGCCACCAGCGTGGCACAGCGCGTGGAGAAGAGGGCGCCTACGCGCGACCTTACGCGGGCAGCTACGCGCGAATGTCGGCGCAGTCGACCCCGTTTTCTCCCGTCGCTCACGTGAGTATATATGCACGCACACACACACACACACACACACTGCTTGGCGTCGCGGCCACGCGCGCGGCAGCGCGGCGTACAACACATGGATGTGTAGGTATGTGGGTGTGTATATACATATATATATGGAGCTAAATGCTCGACATCGGCGCTGTTCGCAGAGGCAAGAGCGGGGACCACCATGGTTTGGGACCCCTCCGGGCGGAACTCGGCGGGTACCCCCAGAACGCCGACCGCAGCACTCCGAACATCGCGGACTCAAACGACACCTGGGCTAACGCCCATTTACGTCGAACAGAATCCGTCATACTCTGTTTTTCGACGCGAGGGGGTCTGGGTCGTCCCACGGCGCGGTTCGGCTATACGCAAAGAGTGACCCTGGGTAAGAGTGACCTTTGGTGCGCGGCTTTGGGGGGGCCGCGGGGAGGCCAAATCCAGGCGCGCTAGCCGCTGCTACTGCTTCGTTTTCAGCCATCTGAGGGCCCATCTGTGCCCGCACCGAAGGTCACTCCGGCGAAAGGTCACTCTTACGTCTAGTCGAACGGCGCGGTCCTCCATCCCGCCGCGTCGCCCGAGTGCTCCCAGAGGAACTCCAGCGGCCGGTCCGACAGGGACGGCTCGGCGGGCTCGGGCTCGGCCCATCCGGCGACGGGCTCGGGGAGGCCGAACAGAGATGGGGCGCTCATGGAGGGAGGGGGGTAGGATTAGGCCGGGCCTGTCCCCCTACAGGGGGATTTTGGACGAAAAATAAGAGATACTCCAAAAATGCTCCCAAAAAGCCCAAAAATGATCAAAAAATAGTCCACAGACTATTTTTGACTATGTTTGAATATTCCCCCTGTAGAGGGACAGGCCCGACTGAAGGGTAGGAGAAGACGGAGCTCAGACCTCCTCGTGTCGTTTGGGGATCCCAAGAAACATTGCGGTGACCGACCGTGTGGTGGCCTCGAAATCCCAGGAGACCTCACCGCACGGTCCGTCAACCCACATTCTCGGGACCTTGGAGGCACCAGTCGCCTGAGACATCCCCAGAGAACGACCCAAATCCCAAAACAGTGCGGTGACCCCAGGTCACCACTCACTCACCCCACGGTGTGGTCACCGCACCGCTTGGGGACCTCCGAGTCGGGACAACATCACGATTTGACAGTTTTCGAAGCTCCTCAGGATGGAAAGCCGGTGCTGGGGAAGGGGTCGAGACCTCTGGTGGATCACGTTGTGAAGCATGCTCTAGGAAGGAGGAAGAGGAGGAGGAGGAGGAGGAGGAGGAGGAGGAGGAGAAGGAGGACGGCCTCGGCTTGAGCCACTGGTGGGCGCGCGAGGGCGAAATGCAGGCGAATCTCTGGTCGGGGCCAATGTCGAAGTGAGACTGAATGCGTTTGGATGTCCGGCCCCGGGACCTCCACCTGGGCGAGTCCTGGGATCTACTGGACTCTTTCTTGAGGGGCCTCTAACGGTCCTGTGGCCCTCACTCAATGCATCCAGCTGCTCATCAGGGGAGCCAAAACGCCCAAGCACTCTCGGACATGTGCCCAGGTGATGCCTGGCATGCACCAGGGGCCCAAACCGGCTCCCGCACCGCCCAGATAGATACAAAGTGCTCCTCTGCTTCACCACAGCTCGCCGGCGTCCCACTCCTGTCGCCCTAGATGAATTCCGGGGGCTCCCGCACGGCCAAGGAGGCCCAAGAGAGCCCCGGAGACGAGCCCTGGAGGCCTCCCAGACGGGCCCAAGAGGACTGCCGAACAAGAGGGGCCCCAGATGGCACACGACAGGGCCCAGAGGGCCCTGAATGGGCCCAGGCAGCTCCCAGGAGGCCTGTGAAGGCCCCTGACCGCCAAAAATACTTGCGTATACGGCTTGAAGTGCTGCCACTGTTGACCCGCAAGGTCTAGATTCTGGATGGCTCCGAAGCTGGCCGGGGGTTCCTGCAAACATCCTCAGCAGAACGGTCGCCTCCCTATCCTTCCCACTCCCACTCCTCTTCCCTTACTCGCTCACCCCCAATCCCCAGTGTCCCACCTCCACCTCCTTCTCCCTCTCCATCCTCAAATTCCTCTCTGGACGTATTAAATTCCTGTTGGTGCACACACTCCAATCCAGATCGGCTGACCAGAAAGAACGCAGACAGCACTCTTCCTCCTCATCCTCCTCATCCCCCTCTCCTTCCTCATCAGGCATCCTCCTATCCCTCTTATGGCCCTTCCCCATCTATCTCCGACTGGTGCCTCTTCCACCTCCTCTTCCTCCTCCTCCTCCACCTCTTCCTCCTCTCCTTCTTCTGCCCCCTCCCTCTTGCCGTCCTCCTCAGGACAACACCGATTGGTCTCCTATCTCAGTCCATCCCTCCACTTCAGGCCACCTAGTCCTCCCCCTTCCCTTCCTCCACCCTGCGTCTGCTCCTCAGGCAAACTCCTCCTCCTCCTCCTCCTCCTCCTCCTCCTCCTCCTCCTCCTCCTCCTCCTCCTCCTCCTGGTGGGTGCCTCTCCCCCCTGCTGCCTCCTCCCCCTCCCGCTCCCACTGTGGGTCCTGAGGTCGAGATTGGCGCTCCTCCCAAGGACGACAAGCAAGGAAGCGGCGCCCACCAGCGGGCCGAACTTGAAGGAATGTGGGCGTGCAAGCTCTGCCGAATGAGAGCTCCCACGGAGGCCACCACGGCCCGACGGGTAAGCAGAAGTATCTATGTGTGCTACTGCCTTTCTCGCAACTCGCCGAGAACAGGAATCGGCACAGCATACGGATCGTGCGTGCGTGCGTGCGTGCGTGCGTGCATGTGTGTGGTTGTGTGCTCGTGTGCTTGTGTGTTTGTGTGCTGTGTGGTTGTTTGTGTGTGTGCTTGTGCTTGTGTTTGTGCTTGTGTGCGTGTGTGTTTGTGAGTGTCGTGTGTTGTGTGTGTGTGTTCTTGTGTGTGTTGTGTGTTTGTGTGTTTGTGTGTTTGTGTGTTTGTGTGCTTGTGTGTTTGTGGGGTTGTGTATGTGTGTGCTTGTGTGTGCGTGTGTTCGATGTGTCCTTGTGTGCTGGTGGTGTGGAGCTTACAAGAAATTCTTTACGACGTTGCCACGGCGTTCATAGACGAGTGCATTGGCCACCCTCCCAACAATAACAAGCTAGTGGCTCTACACTGCTTTAAGAAATGCCGCGATGCGCAGCAAACCCTGTTTCGCCGCCCATCACTCTGGATCTGATAATCAGAAAAGCGCGCAGCGTCGGGGGGTTCAACCACTACATAAGGCGATAATGCAAGGATACCACTCAGTAAGATGGTCTGATCCCTCCTCGCCCTCCTTTTCCTCCATCCCTGTTTTCCCCAATGAATGTTTACACTGAGTGGTCCTAGCGGACATAGAAGAGATCGGCGAAAGTAGCCGGCCGATTTCGGTGGGCGGCTCTCGGTGGGCGGCTGTCGGTGGGCGACCCCTCTCTCTCTCTCTCTTTTTCCCTCTCTTTTTCTGATGCTGATGCTTTTTCTCAGTGTTATGATCTCTCACTCTCTCTTATTCCCCTCTCTCTCTTGGGGGCTCTTTCCGGGCCGTTGTGGGGACGTGTTGTGGCCCTCTTGAATCATCGAGGGGCCCTCTCAGGCCATCGAGGGTACCTTCGGAGGCCCGCCTGGGTCATTTTGGACCCCTCGTGCGCCGTCTTCGGGCAATAATATTGGAGACCTCATAAGCGATTTTGAGCCGACGGATGCCCGAAACGGCGAGGATGCCACAACCCCTCCAACGCGCAAGGGCAATCAATGAGCTAGCCTCTTAGGGCCCTCTTGCGAAACTGCGGCCGCGCATGGTGCTTGCTAAACTTTCGGACCATCCACTGATTGGGGTTTCTCTGGTTTAATGTTACAAATCCGCCGACCCTGTCGGCGTGTGTGAAAGGTTTGTCCGTTTGAATCGTCGTGCCCGTCGCCGCTCCCCCCCATTTCCCTGGGACCTCCTCCTCAAGCGATCCGGTTTGGTTTAACGAGAATCAAACAACGTCGTAATTGATTCGAAGGGAAGCCCCTCCCTTTGATCCATTCCCTGGCCGGCAGGGGGGGGGTCCCAAAGGGGGGTCCCGGGGGAGGGCTCGGGGATGGGGTCCCAGTCCCAGGGGGGCACCTGGAGTCGTTACCTCGCCCTCGAGGGGTCCCCCCTGTGAACATGGGGGCCAAGGGGGTCCCTTGTGGACAAGGGGAGATCAGGACACCTCCCTCCGCCTCCCCCGTGGACAAGGGGACCACCCTCCCCCCCCCTCCTCCAGGACTCCCCCACCCCAGGTTGTACCCTTCTGGCTCTTATCTGCTGCTGCGAGGTGCTACGTGTTTTACAGAATGCCTCTAAGGGGCCTCAACTCTGCTGCGGAGCGGATCAAAATGGTCACGGAGCTTCCCGAGGAGCTCCCCAGGACGACCCCCAACCGAGCCCAAAAGGTTACCAAACGAGCCGCAAGAAGGGCTCCAGAGCGTCAGCGTTGTCGTCGTCGTCGCCGCCGCCGCCGTCGTCGTCGCCGTCGTCGTCATCGTCGTCGTCGTCGTCGTCCCCCTTCAGGGTCGGCGGCACTGGCCGTAAGACCTTCCCGACATGTCCTCCCTGTCGCACCACTAGACATGTTGGTAGGGCGGGACGGGCGTTTCGCCTCAGGCTACCTCACCGTGTATGGCTCTGACACTTGAAAACGTGACTCTCGCAGGATGGAGGAGGGCTCCTCGTCAGAATGTGGCTCTCGCATTGGCGGCGCGCACATTCGTCTTACAAGTTTGCAACAGCTTCAAGGGTTCGCATGGCTGAAGTCCCAGGAATGTCGTTCTGGCACGAGTTAGACTTGCCAGGATGTAACAGTCACATTAATTCGCGGGCCTGAAGTCACAGGAATTGTTCTGGCACGATTGCCGGCTGTCAGGCCACAACAAACACGTCGACTCGCAGCGTTGAGGTCCCAGGAATGTTTAGTCGGCACGAATGAGGATTCTCAAAAGGCTGTCTTCCGATGCGGCACTTCCCACACTGAAGGTAAACTGTTGCAGGGACCTGTAAAGAGGGAACTTGGAGGAAAGCATCATAATAAACTCATTCATGCGCCTTGGGTCTACGTTTGTCCTCTTCTTCCTCCTCCTCCTCCTCCTCCTCCTCCTCCTCCTCCTCCTCCTCCTCCTCCTCCTCCTCCTCCTCCTCCTCCTCCCTTCCCCCATTTTCTGCTTCCCCAGCTACCCGCTACCCCCCTCCAGTCCTTCCCGCGTCAGGTAGCCGGCGGGGGCCGCAGAGGCGCAAGCGGGGGGCTCGGGGGGGCGGGCGGGCCCCGGTCGTAGAACAACTCTGCGAGCGGGTCCACCTGGCGGCGGGAAAGGGGGGATGGCGGCAAGGATGACGTCGCGGGGATGGTGATGGGGACGAGTACGAGGATCACGGGGATGACCAGGCGCGCGGGCAGTCATAGTAGGGGTCAAAAATCTCCCTCATAATGACCACCCCGACACGCGAAGACGTTTAGCAAACGCGCCCAAAGAAGGAATCGAACAGGACAGAGCTGTTCAGTAAACGCCCAGGGCCGTTTAGTAAACGCCGATGATCGGGTCCGGGTGGTTGTTTCCTCCCTTGGACATAGGGTAGAAAATTAGGATCAGCACGTCGGCGACGAGCAAGGAAAGGGGAGGAGGAGGAGGAGGAGGAGGAGGAGGAGGAGGAGGAAGGAGGAAGACGGGGCGGTAGAGGCAGGAAGGGGAGAAGGGAAGCGGAAGAGGGGGAGGACAAGCAGAAGGGAGTCCCTAGCATCTCCTCGCGGTCGCCACACCAATCTTCGAGAGGGTACCTGAGAGCGCGCGCTGCTTGGAACGCCCTACGAGGTGCTCGCACGTTCATGCAGAACGCCACTGCGGCTGATGTGGGAACTGAGCCGAAGCAGGCCTTCCGATGCTGCAACTTGGGGAGTGGGGAGGGGTCGGCATCTCAATTCCTGGATATCAGGCCCTCGATGTTTCGACCACAGGGGTAAACCTGCAATCTCGCGAAAGGGCATCAATAAAACGACGCGAAGATCGGGACAAAATCGGATCGGGATAACTCGAAGTCTCTGAGAGTCGGCGGGTTTGGAGGATGTATTGGGCGCCGCGGCCGCTCCAGAGCGTTCCGGCACGCTCTGAGAGCGCTCCGGAACGCTCTGGAGCGATTTATCCCGATCCTAACCCTGTTTAAATCAAACCTCCATCAGCCAATCAATGTAGGTCTGAACCGGCCTTCCGACCAGAATGCCAAGTCCATTGCTGCGGCGGGGGGGCCAAGAGAAGCTTACAAAGCCTGGGCAACTTTCGGCCGAACTCTTGCGCAAACGCTGGGACTGGCATGCACGTATGACCCCATGGCATGTGCAGGAGGCTTGAGTCGAAACTGGGACACGGTTCCGGGAAAATGCTGCAGAAGCAGCTGGCCAAAGCGAGCTGGCGCAAGTGTGCCCCGCACTCGTCGCTGGAACAACGGCCCAAAGGCAAGCCTGCGCGAATCTGCCCGTCAAAGTGTCGAACACGAACCAGCTGGAGAGCGTGACGGCGTCTGCGTCGCCCATGGCGTCTAACATTCTGCGGACAGGCAAGAGGAAAGGGGAGAATACGGGGAATAATAACGATCGTGGGCCTCTTCATTCTCCTTCTGCCCCTCCTCCCGCTCCCCCGCCTGTCTCTCCTCATCGATGGCCGAAGGCCCAAAGCTCGCTCAGGTGGGCTCGTAGTTTCGTTATCTCGACTCGAACCGCGAATGGTGTCACTTACTCACTCACTTACTCACTGACTCAACCCTCTTCCTTATCCTCCTCCTCCTCCTCCTCCTCCTCCTCCCCCTCCTCCTCCTCCTCCTCTTCCTCCTCCTACTCCTCCTCCTCCGCTTCTGCCTGTTACTCTTCCCGCCAGTCCATCCCTCGTCCCTAACAGGGCAGGACCTGACAGGCAAAGCCCATTTGAGAGAGGAAGCTTTCGGGTGCCAGATTTCAAGTTGTCGCAAATGTTGCAAACCACGCCTTCTCTCGCGCATCCCTCCCCTGGGCTTCCCGAGCTCCAAGGCAAGCAAGCAACTACTCAGAATGAGCAGCTAACCTTGAGAGCAACTCGGGGTCGAAGGGCTGGCTTCTCTCAGGGCAGGTTTCCCCTATGGCAGCCCAGCCCCCCTCGCATCAGTTCCCATCCCCGCAACCTCCTGGGCAAATGAGCTTACCCGTGCGCGTCACGCAGATTCCATACCCTCCCGCTTGCTCCGTCTGGTGCGGCACGTGTCCCGCAGTTTCTCAAGCACCATCTATTGGAAGCAAGTCATGAGCAGATGGTTTATCTATATTTGGTAACTGCGGGCATGCGCGGCCATGAGGACAATTAAAGACTCTCCCCCCACATCCATATCGATGCATTCGGGAAACAAGACGTGAACCGCCACCTCAAGTCGTGAATTAATACAATTGGCAATGGCTACTCAACCATTGCGGTTCCCGATTATGTGCAACTGGACGGGTCGTTCAGGAGACATTGTGATCTCCTTTCCGGATGGGATCGCCTGTCAACCGCACCGCCGCATGTAATAGCATGTAAACGTCAAGGCGATACAAACACATGTCCGCCAACCCCCTCGTGAGGTCACCACCAAGCAAGCAGGAACATGTACGTGATTCTTTCCTGAGGGAAAGCTGATCACTGAGGCAGGCACTTCCTACAGGGCCAGTTGCTCCTAAAGAACCCCGCAGGCGAGACCTGGGCAGACGCCGAGCCTGTGATCGACCTTGCATCCCGGAAGCGGACACCTGCAAGACACGGCGAAGGGAAGACAGAGGGAAAACAAGATGACGAGCCCTTCTCTCACAGGTGGGCGCGTTGGAGGAGCCCTCCTTTCGCAGAGGGGCCCCTGCACGCATCCCAGAAGCCCTTCCTTCACAGAAGGGCCAAACTGTCACCTCATTTCGGCTTGCGGATCCGCAGCGAGAGCAAAAGCACGGCAGCCAGGCAGCACATTGGGGGTCCCGAAGCGGTGCGGTGACGAACCGTGCGGCGCCCTCGAGATCACCGAGGGCCCCACAGCACGGCCCGCCGCCGCACCGGCCTTGTGGGGGGACCTCGGAGGCCCTCCCGTCGCCCGCGGGCCCGCTCGGAGAAGGACGCGAAGGCCCCCCAGACCGTGTGGCCACCCCTCCGAAGCTCGGGCCGGGCGAAAGGGGGGGATAGCAAAGGGGGGGTTGGAGAATCAGCTCACGTAGCTGATTTTCCCAGCGCCTCCCGGCGCCGGAGGCGGCTATGTATCGAGGAATGGGCCCCTCGGTGGGGCCGAAACCAGCTGCATGCAGCAGATTTCGTACCCCCCCCTTTCACACTCCCCCCCTTTCGTCCGGCCCGAGAAGCCCCACCGACTCGCCACACAGTGTGGTCACCGCACCATCGGGTGCCCCCAGAACCGAGGGGATGAGCGGACAGGGGCGGGCAAGAGGGAGGTGAGACGCGGAAAAGAGTGCGAACAAAAAAAACAGGAAAGGCGGCCAGGCACAAAGAGGCAGATCTCGCTGCCCGGCCGTGCTCCCTCGGCCCTGGTTGCCTCTGAGATCCAGTGAGAACCGGCCGCACTCTGAAGGTCGGAAAGGGGTGTGGCACACAGGGGTATGGGGCCAATCGTGGACATGGCGATGCGATCTGCGATTAATAACACTGCCAGATCCGCCTTTACATTAACTTAGCGCCACACCCCTTCACACCAGACCCCTCCCCAGACATGCGACGTCCTGATTTTTTCAGGACGGCGTCCCCGGAAGTCCAGACCCTTTCCCCGCGGCCGGTTTTCCCTCCTGAGTCCTTTTTTGACAACCCTGGGGCCCGGCGAGGGCCCCTAGGGGCCGAAAATCACAAAAAAAATCACAAAAAAACTCCCGTCCTGAATCTTTTACGACGCCATCATGTCTGGTCGGGAGCGGCCAAGAGGGGGGTGTCCAAGAGGGGGGGGGGTGCACATCATGATCGGCGGCATGTGCGCGGCCCAGCGGGGGGCCAGGGACGTA